AGAATGGTCCAACATCCAGACAAAATTATATTAAACATTCCCAGCTTAAATAATGCCAAGAAGGAAAGGTCCCCCCTATTGTGAAAACCACTTCCGATTAAAATGCTCTTCGCACGGAACTTTTGAACTTCGTTAAATTCAAATTTTCACTTAAAATTGGATGTCGGGGTGAATGCCGTGTATTGGTTAAAATTTTGGACGGATTCAAACGTCTTCTCAAGTACCTTACTGAGAAGCAAGTGAAACTTAAAGCCCGTCCTGACGATTCGTGCAAAGGGATTTTTAATTATTTGTATTGAGGTCACTTCAAATCTAGTGAACTAAACAACCTTAAGGCATTAGAAAAAGCTAGCCTTATGCTCCATGTCCGAGAGAAGTGGGAAAACTTCAGGAAGACAGTGCCGTAAGTGCCAGGGTTACGGGGTCACGGAACAAAACATTGCTACATGCCACCTAAATGCATGAACTTTGGTGACTCCTCTCATGCAAAGGACGGCTGTACTGTTAAGGAAGATCCTAAAAAGATTAAATGTTCAAGTTGTATTGTTGGGAATGTAAGACGTTAAACAGTTCTCATTTCTCTGCTGTCGGTCAGCGAGGAACAAATTCTACATTCGTACCCGTAGGTACAAACAGCTCACATGCTTCAAATTCTTCATCTATACCTGCTGCTAATAAAGTTCAGCAAATAAATGGAGCTACCTATAGTAGGTAGAAATCGAAATCAAAATTATAACCAACATAATTCTAACGCAAATTTTGATGATTTTTACAGAAATCATTAACCGACATGATTATTGATATGCAAAAAGTTGGAAGGGTTGTATACTAGATACGACCGCAGGGTTGGCGTTGGATAACGTCTGTTATGTGTTGTACTTAATTGTGTATATTATATTTTAGGAATATTCCTTAATAACTCTTTTGCGAAAGTTTGGTGGCCCTGAAAAGGGCCGTTTTGTTGGGCTGATGTTGTTGGGTTTGCTCTACTCTGTCGCCCTGGAGGAGCTTTTGAATGATGTTGGTAGTTCGAAGATAGACAGAATCTCCCCTTCCAGCGTTCCTACACCCCAGTATAGTCCCCAAATTTAAGTGTAATTGTGATATTCTGGAAAGAAATTGTCTTCAAAACTAACTCTTTGTCGAATTATTGGTGGCCCTGAAAAGGGCCGTTTTGGTTGTGGTTTTGGAATGATGGTTATGCCGAGCATGAGTACCGGATGGCGATGGCGATTTTGATGAGCGGTTTGCATGCCGGGCGCTTTGCTTCAACCACGAGTGCGGTGAACTCCGGGTAAATATTATTACAATCAGTAGAACCAACAATCAATATGAAACTATCGATATGAAGTTGGCTCACTACTTGACTAGCCTATTGGTCCCAAGCAAATCGATTAACGTACCCCATTCTAGTTGAAATTCTAGTACTACACTATGTTTGTTTTGATTATCTATGAAAGTTTGACAGATAAAATGAGGGGTTCGTGGATTTTACAATGTTTCGAGGGGTGCATCGATTTGCTTGGGACCGAAAAGAGTACCAGAGCTGAGCCAAAAATTTGAGCACGTTTCTTCGGGACCTACTAGTCTTAGAGTTACCTCTGTGGTAGAACAGCGCTAGGTGGTATGATGAACCGGGAAATCCACTCGAGATGTCGAAAGGGTAGATGGTTGTTTTGGAGGTTGTGATGAGGACGATTTTGGAACGGAACGGGTTGTGCTCGATGATGCATCGTTCTTCTTCACACAGTCTGTGAAGACGAGTTCGATTCTGAAATAAGTTTTGTAGAAATGCAATAAAAATGGAATCTATGGCTCTGCAAAGATTCAACTTTCGATATTCAAGTGTCGGAAAGGCATTAGACAATTAATCGTTAAATTCTTTCTTGATAATGTTGTGGCCCTGAAAAGGGCCATTTTTCCAACGCGCTCGGCGTAGTTGCCCTTGCGGAGCAGACGGTGAATACGACCGACTGAGAACTGCAGCAGCTGGGCATTCCATGACGGCGGCCCAGTATACCGGAGCACTGGCACCAACGCACTCGGCGTAGTTGCCATTTCGCCCCCAGGCTCTGCTGCCGCTGCTCTGCTGCCGTTGCTCTGCTGCCGCTGTTCTGCTGCCGCTGCTCTGCTGCCGTTACTCTGATTCCGCTACTCTGCTGCCGTTGCTCTGATTCCGCTGCTCTGGTACTGCTGCTCTGCTGCTCTGCTGCTGGGTCGACGATCGGATAGACAATGATGGAACGGGCGACATTGTTGGACGCTTATATAGTAGAACAGAAAATATCAGAGGTGTCAGATACTCGCATCTGATGTCTCGGTTGGAGAAAGTATAAGAATATAAAAAATATCAATTGATTTTCACCATCTTTAGACAATGGTTTACTTTTAACCATTTTTCAATAGTTTACAGAATGAAATCAATAGTTTTGAAACATTCAGCAACATTTGCTAGAAATATTTCCAATCGATTGATGCCATTATCTCGTAAATCTATCGAGAGGCGGTTGAGTTATTATCGTTCAAAATCTTTTAATTTTTCGTAACGCATCCAAAATGACTGTTTTCAATTTTGTACCCCCGTATGTTGCCGAAAGACGTTATCCAACGTCAAAAACTAACTCCACGTTTGATGCTATTCAAACTGGAGTAAAATTTGCTTATAACATAGCCATGACTATGAAATTCAGTAATCGATTTTAAATCATTAAATATTTTGAATTGCAATGCTCTATCTCTTAAAGATAATGAAGACGAGCTGTTACCGTTTGTAAAATCTGTTGTTGTATTTATGAAAGTTGATCGAATTTTGCATGTCTCCGTTTAAATTCAAATTATAATTGATATAAATATACCCCTAGTTTTAATACACTATACAATATCACAGTATACTACCAACTGCTGGAATAGGTGATGAACCAAAAATTTGAGTTCAGTGGAAAATAGGAGAATGGGTACAAGAAGTACAGAGAAAGGGAACGTCGAGTAGCACGGAAACTTCTTCCACCACTTGCCAAGTAAACTTAAACGAGAGCAGTTGGATAAGCTGAAAACCGTTAAAAGTAAAGTATAAAGTAAGAGTGTCGTAGTAGCAGGAGTTGAGAGAAAGAGAGAGAGAGAGTCAGGTATGTAACAGGGATTGAAGTGGCCACATGTCACAATCGGGCCTAAGACCGCCCTTTAGGACCCGTTAGTTGTGAGGGTAGCTTTTGGTGGAGAACTGGCATCTCGACGGTACCGAGGTTGGACTAGCTTTGGAGTAATTGATTAATTATCCCGCGTGGTTGCGGTATACCGGTCGTAGTTTCCCGACAAAGGGGTTGGAAGCTGGAAGATTAGGATTCAAGTTCCACCCCAAATTGTACCGAGCAGGTCTCAACACACCCAAAATCCCAAAAAAAAAGTCCGCCATCTCCAGGCCTCGAACATTAAAACCCTCAGCGGAGCCCGAGTCCACCATTGTGCTCACCGACCGGCGTCGCCAGACCCTTTCACCGAGTCTTCATCAGCCTCACTGTTTCCCGCCATCAAGCTAACAACCGTCATCGAGACCAAATGTAACAAATATATAAAATGTTTGTATCCTCCTCCTAACTTTGCCTGAAGAATAAACTTCTAATATTTAAACAAGTTTTAAGACCGGCCATGCTTTACGCTGTGCCAATTTGGTCTAGTTGTTGCACTTCCAAGAAAAAAACACTTCAAAGGATTCAGAACAAAGCTGTGAAGATGATTTGGAAGTTGCCTCCCTGGTACAGTACTATCGAGGTACACAGAATTTCGAATGTTGAGACTTTAGAACAGATGTCCAACAAAATAATTAATATTTTCAGACAAAAAGCGTTGCAATCCAAAATTGCAACAATTAATTCCTTTTATACTTAGATAGGATTTAGTTTTAAGTTTTAAGATGTTAATTGTTATACTGTCATGCAGATATAACCTGTTTAAAATACTGAATTTGGAAGCAGGAACAATGTAAAACACTTAGATATATATCATTACAATTAAGGCATGGCAAATCATTTACATTCATTTTGTGCACTCATTTACATTCATTTGCCTCTAACTTTTTTCATCAACAGAACTCTATGAAATGATGTATGAAACTTTTGTAGGTTTTGATATTAGCTACAGCTTTTCTGAATGACTCAAATCTGTATATCTTATGCATGATGAACCGAGGCGAACAGAACTTGCCTATGTTTTTCAGTGTCAGCGTCATGCATAAGAGGTACAGATTTGAGTTATCGACAAAAGTTGCAGGCTACATATAAACCTACAAAAGTTTCATACATCATTTAACGGAATTCTGTTGATGGAAAAACTTAGAGGCAAATGAATGTAAATGAATGCACGAAATGAATGTAAATGATTTGCCATGCCTGGTCACAATCAGCCTGAGCTATCAAGAATTTGACCCTATAATCACTAGTAATTCCCCTTCGATATAAATTACAAATCTCCCACCGTTTTTTTCTGTATAAATATAATTAAAAACATTTATCAACGCATCCTCACCGTAATTAATTGTCATACCCCAGACCACGACTAACCGATCGAACGATATACACAAGAGCAACCCAAGCGTGATATCCGATCCTAGTGCTGTGTAGTTCGTCATATCGTTCTACAGCCGAATCATTCCCGGCCCGAATGTGCGCGCAAATGTGGACGACGAAAGTGCGGTCGATTGCGACCTATAGCTACTGCTGAGAACCACCAAGCCATGTTAGTACACTACTAAGTAATGAACTACGCGACCAGTCAAGCAACAAGTCGTCTTCGGTCATACTCGTCGTCGTTGTCATCGTCTTCATCATCCATCGGTCATCGCTGATTAGGTTAGTCAGCGAGCGTAAAGGGACGATCGGTATCACGAGCGCGCGCAACTTTTGATAACAGGTTCAAAGTAGTGTATGCAGTGCAAGTGTTGTGTTGTAATGTAACCGCAACCGCAAGTGTTCGTGAAATATGTGATAACAGTTAATCGGCTGCATCGGTGTTGTTCGGTGGAAGTGCGACAATAGTTCGTGGAAGCAAAGTAATTCGATTTGCACGTGTTGTTACGAGGTGCTTCGCGCCTACATGTGACGGCTCTTCGTCTTCGCTACTGATTGTGTGATCGATTGTTAAGACACAGGTGATTATTTGACAATTTGTCGCTGAAATTCAATCTAGGACGAACTATTCCTGGCTGGCGCCGTTCCCAACCGAAGAAATAGTTGAAATGCCTGCATGAAGTGTTTGTGGTTTGTTTGTATGTGTTTGCAAGCGTTGCAGTCGTTGTGGAACGAAACAAAAATTCGTCGATTCAATTTTTTATGACTTGTTTCTCGTTTTCGTTTCGAGGTATAAAGTGTTATTTTTTTTTCCGCTTATTTGCGAGCTGGAACTTTGAGTCCGGTCGTGTCACATACTAAACCCCGATGGACGGCGAACGACTGCGGAGCGAAAGCGAAAAACAAAAATACGCCAACACACTTTCTGGGGTATGTAGATATGTATAGATATCTACTAGAACCACACTTGAGACTGACCGTCCGTACGTCCCTCCGTGGAAGCGTCTTACAACACGGAGCAGAGGCCAGCGAGCGGCGCGGGAAGTGGTGGCGAATGCTATCTCTCTATCGGCCCCGGTCTGGTTTGTTGTTCTTTTGCTTTGCTTTGATCGCGGTGTGTCCGACGCGGAGCTGTGGTATGCATATAGGTATGATGACCGCAGTACCCACAGAATACGAAACATCTTGTGATAGGGTGGTTGTGAATTAGAAGAGTGTTTTCGGGGAAGTGGGTTGATGAAATTTCACAATATCTCTTAAATCACCTCCATTAATCTGCAAAGGCCTCAAAGGTTGAGATCAAAGGCTTCACTTCTTATGAGTCATCTACGGATTAGTCATGTAATTTCAAAAGAAAACTTCACAGCTCTTACTCACTTTCAACCACGTTTGGACGTTTAAGGTCTTTTAGATTTGTTATCGTTATACGCAGTGATGGAAAAGTTCACAAAAACTCTCTATGATTCGCGAACTTTTCCCTTGGTGAGCTTCGTGAAATATCGCGAACTTTTCCAACACTGGTTATTAGACTGATGCTAATTTTGACTTTTTCACTCCACAGTGCTTAAATGGTTTCAAATCAGGTCCTGATTAGCCTCCCAAAGTTACAACTCATCTGGTTAGAAACAGACTTCGCACAAGCCATTTGAAGTTTTCATGTAAACTACTATGGGAAATCTCAACTTTTTGTTCATTGCCTTCTAGTATTTTTCCATATTGAGCTGCGAAACAGTTCGATAGCCAGTCTTATAGAACTTTGCAGAAGATTGTTTCTATGTAAAACGAGGCAGGAAAAAGTTATTAATTATTTAAGAGATTGATAAACTTATGTAGCCATGATTTTTGTGTTCTATTCAACGCCCCAGAAACACCAATGTTGACTGCTGAGCAGTTGATTGAGCATGATCATGAGACATCAGCGCATTGAACCATTGATAACTTTTAATCCTTGCATTTAATCAAAAAGTGGTCTTCAGCAAAGTTGTAGCTGGGAAAATTTCCTACAAGCACAATTGAAACCTTTTGAAGCAGACCAATATGGTGAATTATTAGATAGACATGAACAAAAATCTTGGTTTCACCATAGTAATTCCCATACAAACTTCAAATGGTTTGTGCCATCTCAGTTTCTCACCAAATGGGTTCAAATTTTGAGAGGTTAGTCAGGATCCGATTTGGAATCGTTTAAGTATTGTGGAGTGAAAATTTCCAATTTTGCATCACTCTACTGGTTATACGTTATTATTGTTATACGTTATCGTTTTTTAAATCGTATTTAGACAAATCATATTATCATATGTATTTTTTTTATGGGGATACCGCCTAAAGTTATTAAAGTATATCTATATCAAACAGCTGCTGCATGTTTACATTATGTGATTGATTGGTGCAATAAAATGATTAAATAATTGGTGATTTACACTACAGAATCGGTTCTTTTTAGAACCTTATAATGAAACATAGTATCATTGAAGTGTTACATGACTTTCAAGCGAATTTAAAACCAGAATAGAGTTTAAAACTGCGCGGAATTAGGTGCATTAAAGAGCGCAATTGCAAACATCGCTCAACTCAGTGCGCGGAATCGTGTGCACCACCACAACATTTTTCAATGAAAATTTTGAAATTTTGGTACTGATTCGTTTAAATCTTTTTTTTATCAAAATACGATAACAAATCTACTTAATGATTCATTTGATGATCACTTTTGTCTTCTTCCAGAGCTACTGTAGAGATAAATACTCTCGCCTTAGGTGCGAGGAATAACCCATCTTCACGTTATGTATCTTAAAATTCATTAAATAAATCCTTATGTTTGCATGCCATTTTAAAGGGAAACGACAGGGCTTTCGTTAGAAATTTTGGTGGCCATATTGGAGTTTTTCGAAAAAATTAGTTTTTCATAAGCTTACATCTCGCCAATTTAAAACCTAAGCACGCAATTTGAAATCATTACAAATTGCATGGGGTCATATTACCTCCTCTTTCTTTTTCTTCTGGATCCTTTCGATGAACGAATTTCTCCATCATAATTTGAAAAGTATCTTATAGAAAAAGTCTCAGCTTTCAAATGGCGAGCTTACACGGTAAGACAAAAGTTAAGGGGCTGGTCACTCTACACAATGTGAAAAAAAAACAAACTTGGGCACACCCGGGTGCAGTCATTGGCGCTGTTTGGCACCCATGGTTACATTTTTTTAGGATCTGTAAAGTTACTGACAACACTGAACTTTTCTGCGCCTGTGCACGTGTCAAAATTTGTTATTGATGTTGCCACAATACAATCCAATTTTTAAAAACCCCAACCGTGAATCTCCATCAAGTTCCACCAGTGATTCTCCAAAATCGAATTGAATTACACAAAGTACAGTGAGCGCACATTCTATTACCTGTCCGAAGAAGTAGGTACATGAAAAAATCAGGGCAATCGTTTGCATAGCAACACCACTCAATCAATCTCAACATTACTAGAGTCGGTGTATAATGAGTCACGCCAAGAGTGAAGCCAAGTCTACCTATTGAACTGTCAAACCGGCTACCTATCGTACAAAGTAAACAAACATTACGATTCTATGAAAGGTCCACGAAAGGTATTGTAATTGAATATAAAATAAAATTGAAGAAAAATGATCATAAACACCCAGTGAGCATTAAATTGTCATGGGATACGTTTGTTAATGATCAGTAATGAGAAATTTACTTTTTTTGATAAGATAATTTGACAAAATCACTGTTATAACGATTCACTTCTTCTTCTTCTTCTTATTCGCATTTCAAGCTTATTGCTTAACGCATATTAGCTTATTGAGTGCTCTCAACTTAGTGTTCTAAATGCACTTCCACAGTTATTATTTGAGAGCTTTCGATGCCAATACCAATGCATGAATTTGTATATTGTGTGGCAAGCACAATGATACTCTATTTCCAACCCGAAAGATTCCCTCGACCGGACCGGGAATCGAACCCGCCGCCTCCGGCTTGGTAATACCGGGCCTTTACTGACTAGGCTATGAGGCCCCCATAACGATTCACTACAGCCGCTATTTTTTTGTTCTCGCTAGAAGTCATTTGAAGTTGATGTAGAAGTCCTCTGTTGCCAAGTGAAAAGAAAGGGAATCCTTCGAAAACCGTGATGCGAGTTCCACTGTTTTTCTCTTGGCGTGACTCATTATACACCGACTCTAAACATTACCGGCTCCAGCTCCATTATTAAAGTCATTACTCACACTCTCGTGACCGGAGGAAAGTACGTCCCACGAGCGGTTCTAATCAACCTTGAGCTGAGAACTATGGATTCGGTCCGAGAGGGACCATTTGGACAGCTGTTCCGACCGAATAACTTCGATTTCGGACAGTCTGGTAACAACTGTGTTAAAAGACACTGCACCAAGGGTGGCGAACTGGTGGATTCTGTGCTGGATGTTGTCCGTAAGGAATTCGAGGGTTGCGATTGCCTGCAGGGCTTTCAGCTTACACGTTGTAACGTTGGCGGAATTCAGTAGCAAAAATACCTTCCTCTCCATAGGCATGGGCACGCTACTGATCTCGAATGAAGAAGAGTTCGACGAAGAAGAGGAAGGTGCCGACGAGTGATAATAGATATAATTGGTTAAAATGGTCGTTTTCATTATGATACCATATATATATGTATATATATATATCCTACTGTTAATAATTGCTAGAATAAAATCTGGTTATATTAAAAGTTAACACTGTTAAATTAATTATGTTACAAATAAATTGCAGCAGCATGCACCACAAACGCAACGCGATTGTCAAATTTTTCATCGAATGTCCCCTTTTAGCGGAATGAAGCGCATCCCACTGGCCAAAAAATACTTTGTCCAATGCTTCCGCCTGTCAGATGGCACAGGAAATGTGCCCTTTTCATGTGAAATACTTGTAATTAAGTAGAGGTAATCTTCCTTCCGGAAAAACTTGTCCGGAATCTCCAGCAGTAAATCTACGACTGGATCCTATATGGTGCACGATCCGTTGCTGAACGAAACTTTCCTTGGCGATAACATGCGAGCCGTCGGGAAATGCCAGCGCAAAATCATCCCCTTCATAATCCACATCGTTCAGAAATCGTTCATTGCCCGCATCTTTAACCATCCTCAGAAACTTCCGGAAATCGCCCAACCAACGCTCAATATAATTCAACACCTTGAATTTCACCTTCACCTCGCTTAGCATCTCTTCCACCTGTAGCCGGAACAGATTCGAGTGGTAGAAATATTACGTTTCCTTCAACCAATTAACTACTTCATTCGAGCAGATAAAATGACGTTTACTACCACTCGAACTTTGTTGGCGAACTCACAGGGCAGTCGCCGCCGGCTACCAAGTGAGTCCCGGTTACACCCGTTGCGAATGTGTGGACGAGCGTTAACCGCAGCTGTCATGCTGAACTGTCATGGGAACTGTCAGGTGAAAGGAAAAGAGAAAGGAAAGTAAACAATACAGAAAAATCTATTGAATTTAGTGGAAAGAGTTAGTGCGTTCATTACTTTGTTTCAATTAATATTAATAAAACGGCTTTGTAGTTTGTAGTCAACAAAGGTAATTGAATTAGTGGAAG